TACTAGGAGGGAGGGGTGGGAGGGGAAAAAATGCAACAATGAATGAATGGAAACCCAAAGTCTCTGTAAATCTTTACTTAAGTTAATAATAAATTTAAATAAATTTTTAAAAAAGAAAATTGTACACTCTCAGCTTCTAAGCAAAAGTTGAAGATTCACGTACACCCACAAGAACTTGGGAATTATAACAACAGAAATAATAACCACCACCACTGGAAACCTTATGGGACATATTCCTGCAGTGCCACACCTGGGTCACCCGGGGTCAGAACGGACTTGAGAGCAGCTAGAGTGATGGTGGACGTCGCTGCCGTACGTTTGCCACAGCTGAGAAACCAGCATTTGGTGCATAACTACTAACCAGGCTCTGGGGTTCATTTAAGGAGCCCCTGGTATCACAGTGGTTAAGTAGTTAGCTGGTAAACGTAAGATGAGTGATCCAAACTCACCAGCATCTGTACTGGAGGAAGATGTGGCTTGTCCATTCAGGTCACGGGGACAGCCTTCGAGCTCCGTGCAGGAGTTCCGGCCTGTCTGAGGACTGCTGTGAGCTGACAGGCAGCACAGCACGCTGGGGACCAAACCGTCTCAGGGACAGCCATGGAGCCCCCGTGCAGGAGTTCTGGCCTGCCTGAAAACGGCTGTGAGCTGACAGGCAGCACAGCACGCCGGGGGGACCATATCATCTCAAGGACAGCTGTGGAGTCCCTGTGCAGGAGTTCTGGCCTATCTGAGAACTGCTGTGAACTCATCAGCAGTACAGCACCCTGGGGACCATACCACCAGAGTGCCTCACAGGACTGTTGTGGGTTGAAATCAACAGCAATGATTTGGCTTGGATTTGGTTTGGTGGCACAGTGTTTAAAGACTTGGCTGCTAACCAAACAAAATACAGAGTCACTGTATCACAAAGAACTGACAATGAAAATTTTCAGGAAATATCGTATGAACAAGAGGCAATGGTAATGAAGGAGGAGGTTCAAGATGCACTGAAGACATTGCCGTAAAAAACATAAGGCCCCAGAAATCTATGGGATACCAACTGACATGTTTCAAGTAACAGATGCAGCCCTGGGTGTGCCCACCAGTCTGTGCCAGGAAATTTGGAAGACAGCTGCCTGGCCGACTGACTGAAAGAGATGCATATTTGTTTTTATTCCCAAGAAAAGTGACCCAAGAGAATGTGTGAATTATTGAACAATATCATTACTATCACACGCAAGCAAAATTTTGCTGAAGATCATCCAAAAACTATTGGAACAGTACATAGTTAGGAAACTGCCAGAAATGCAAGCAGGATTTAGAAGAGACCGTGGCACCAGGATATCATTGCTGATGTCAGATGGATCCTGGATGAAGGTAAAGGGTCTCAGAAGAATGTCTATTTGTGCTATAGACTATGCAGAGGCATTTGGCTGTGTGGATCACAAGTTATGGCTAACATTGAGAAAAATGAGGATCCCACAGCACTTAATTGTGCTCATGCAAAATCTATACCTAGGCCAGGAGGCTCTTGTGGGAACACAACAAGGGAACACTACATGACTTAAAATTTTAAAAGGTGTGTGTTAAGGTTGTTTCTTCTCTCCATCTCTATTCAAAATGTAAGTTGATAAAATTATTCAAGAATCCGGACTTTACCAATGAAGAAGAATATGGCATCAAGTTCAGAGGAAGCCTCATCCATAATCTGCAGATGACACAACCTTGCTTGCTGAAAGTAAGGGAGATTCGAGGCACTTGCTGCAGAAGAATGCACCCTCCAAAATGTCATCTCAAGTTCAAGAAAAGCGAAATTCTCACCACTGGACCAAGAGGCAACATTGTGATAGATTGAGAAAAGGTTGAAGTTATCAACCATTTCGTCTTACTTGGATCCACAGTTAACACCTTTGGTACCAGCAGTCAGGATATCAGGAGACGTATTGCATTGAGAAAATCAGAAGTCAGGGACCACTTCAGATTATGACAGTGCAGTGATACCAGTTTAAGGACTAAGGTGTACCTGATTCTGGCCATGGTCTTTTCAATCACTTACTATGCATCTGAAATCTCGACAAAGAATAAGGTTAACAGAAGAGTTGATGCCTTTGAAATATAGTGCTGGAGAGGAGTCCTGAACATCCCATGGACGGCCAAGAGAACAAACAAATATGTCTTAGAGAAAGTGCAGCCAGAGTGCTCCTTGGAGGCAAAGATGATAAAGCTTCACCTCACCTACTTCGGGCGTGCTACTAGGAGAGGCTAGTGCTTGAAGGATATGATGCTTGGAAAGGTGGAGGGTCGGCGAAGGAGAGAACCGTCAGCCAGGTGGAGTGACACAATGACTGCAGCGGTGGACTCAAGTGTCGGAGATTGTGAGGACGGCACAGGATGTGACAGGGTTCAGATATATTGTTCACTATAGATCGTACTCAATCCAACGACACCTAACACAGCAGCAACAGCAGCAGCTGTGTATTCTACTGTTGTCCCCAGGGTTTCCGAAGGCCTTTTATTTCAGGAGTGGATGGCCAGTCTTGCTTCTTAGTGTTTGTTCGTCTGGAAGCTGTGCTAAAACCTGTCCACTGTAGGTGACCTGGCTGCGTTTCAAAATGCCTGTGCAGAGTTCCCAGCCTCGCAGAAGCACACCAGCCACCACAGTATGGCAAACCGAAACGCCAAGGACACCTGAGACACTTCCTGAGGGAGAGCACAGCTTGCATTCCATATGGGTTACATCTCAACATCAAGAAAACAAACATCCTCACCTATGAATCACAAAGCAACACAGCGACGGACAGAACAAAGGGGGACGTTCGTTGGCAGCTATTTCACGTTACTTGATCGACAGTCTACACCCTTGGCACCTGGAACTCTTCCGCACGGATCTTTGTTTCTTTTTCATTTATTTATTCATGCCTTCATTTATCCCATCCGTGTGTTATGTATCATCAAGTCAGAACCCACTCGTGGCTCCGGTGGGTTTTCCAAAGCAGGCAGTCTCACCAAAGGAGATGGCCAGTCGTTCTGCAGAGAAGCTGGTCTCTCTAGGTTGATAGCACAACCCCGTACCACTAAGCCACCAGAGCTCCTATCAGTGTTATTGTTGTTGTTAGGTGCTGTCGAGTCGAATACAACCCATAGCGACCGTATGAACAACAGATCTGACCCCTGTCCCATCCTGTGCCAGCCTCACACTTCCTGACCCACTCGAGCCCATTGCATCAGTCACGGTGTCAATCCACCTGGCTGAGGGTCTTCCTCTCCTCTGCCGACCCGGCACCTTTCCCAACATGCCTCCCGGGGCAGATGCAGTAAGTTGCAGGAGAGGAGACTGCCCATCCTTGTGTGGAGCAGCTGATGGAGTCAAACAATGTGCCTTTGAGATTTCAGTGCAGCTTCTTTCTGCTCGGCCCCCAGAACTCACTCTTGGCCCTCAGAACTCACTCTTTGTCTTTACAAGATATCTTGTAATCTCTTCATTTTACAAGAGATTGAAGGAAGGGGAAGTGAGCAGAAAAGGAAAGAGCTCGGTATGACTGAGAAGAGCGAGGGGCATTGCATGTCCTTTGGACCTGAGGTTCCAGTGCTGAGAACTTTCTAGACCCAAGGGACAATCAATGCCAAGAACCAGGGAGATCGCCAAGAATTCTGTGCCCACAGATGCTGAAAGGAGACACGGACTTTTCTCTGGAGCCAACAGAGAAACCCTACACCCTGAATTAAAACTTCTAGCTCCCTGAATGGTGACAAAAGGAATTTCCATTTGTTAAAGCCATTCATTGTTGGCTTACGATTTTGGCTTTAACATGAGTGTCACATCCCCTCACAATGTTACTGCCGTAGCAGCACTAAAGAACTAAAAGCCAAACCTTGCTGTTGTGTTGGAACCAGCCCATGGCTGAGCCTCCAGCAGGCTTTCAGAGGCCGTGAATCACTCAGGAGATCGCCCATCTTCCTCCCATGGAGCAGCTGGCGGACTTGAACCGCCGGCCTTTGAGCTGGAAGCACAGGTCCTTACCACTAGGCTGCCGGAGCTCCATCTAGACAGCTAATACATCCACTAACGGGGGAGCAGAGCCATGTTGTATATTCACAGAAACCAGCGACAGGCAACAGCCTGGGTAGGTGAGGCCACAGATGCAGCAGGACGCAGCGGGATGTGTGTGGCCACACGTGGGGCTCAGAAGCACAGAGGTGCAGCTTTCGCAGGACCAGCCCTGTGAACAGAGAGGCGTGGGAGTGACTGTGGAGACCAGCCAGGAGGAGCTCCTCCAGAGGAAGGGACATTTGATGGGAGTAAACCTACGTTCCCAGGACGGAGCGTGTCTTAGGTGGGGCCTTCAGCAGGGCTCAGCTCCTACCCCCACCCAGCATACAAGCTCTGAGCAATTGCACTGCCCTGTTTCATATTGGGGACCCTGGGATGAGTGGGACTTGGAGTAAATCCAGTACCTCGGACTCAATTTCCCTGGAGCTACTGTTGACTTAACCCCTTGCTTCATTCTCAGAGCTTGCGAAGTGGGCGTGTAGTTCTGGCGGTGGCTGTGTCACCACATTGGAAGGAAGGCAGGTGGGACTCCAGGGAGCCCCAACCTGCAGGGGACTGTATGGAGCTGACTGTCTCGGGCTGGGCTCCTGAGTGACCCATTCAGGCCCTGGGCCCAGGGTCATCCACAGAGCCAGTAGCAGGCCCAGGGCCGTCCACTGAGCCAGTGCTGGGCCCATGGCTGTCCTCTGAGACAGTGCCGGGCCCATGGCCATCCGCTGAGACAGTGCCAGGTCCACTACTGTCCACTGAGCCAGTAACAGGCCCAGGGCCATCTGCTGAACCAGTGCTGGGCCCAGGGCCATCCACCGAGCCAGGGCCAGGTCCACTGCCGTCCGCTGAGCCAGTGCCGGGCCCATGGCCATCCTCTGAGCTGGGGCCAGGTCCACTGCCGTCCGCTGAGCCAGTAACAGGCCCAGGGCCGTCTGCTGAGCCGGGGCCAGGCCCTCACCGCGCTGTTGTCCGGCAGATGGTGGGGCTGATGCAGCAGTGTGCGGAGAGGCGCCTCCAGGAGGAAAGGGCCTTGAAGGAGCAGGTGGAGCGGGTGCTGGAGGCGGAGAAGAACGCCAAGGCGGCGCAGACCAAACTGTGGAAGAGCCGGCGGCAGGCAGGTATGGGGGCGCCCTGGCCGGCTGCACCTCCGAGCGAGAGAGGCCCCGACCGGTGCCCCACCCACTGCTCAGCACCCCGCTTGGCCCCCCAGCCCAGGAGGTGCTGGCGGAGAGCCGGGAGCTGCTGCAGCGCAGCGCACAGGAGGCCAGCGAACAGCAGAGGCAGCGGTGCGAGCTCATCTGCCAGCTGCGCGCCCTGGAGAGGCAGCCCACTCGCAAGGAGAAGCTGGTGGACCTGACCCAGGTGGGCCCGTCCCCTCCAGTCACCCCGGGGGCCCTGTGCCGACCGTGCAGGCCACTACCCTGGGGGCTGCCCAGAACGCCACACCCTGGGCAACAGGGTCACTCAGCCCACACCAAAGGCCACCCTCCACTCATCACTAGCCGGTGACCTGGAACTGGCCCCAAAAGTTCACAGTCCTGTCACCAGACAGACACCACCTCTGCCCTCTGCCACCCTGAGAGTGGAGGGCCAGGCTTCTGGGGTAGCCAAGGCGGACTGCATGGGGAGAGCAGACATGGAGGGTCTCGGAGCTGGCTGAGGGTCTAGCCTGGTCCCAGGGGGTGGGGACTGGCCACTGTCAAGGTGACTTTGAGACTCCCATCTAGGTAGGATGTAGTCAGCCCAAAGTGAGGTCTAGAGGGAGAGGCTACATGGAGGCTGGAGCCCATAGCGGGGAGACCCTGTGGGTCAGGGGGCAGAGACTGCACCAGGAGGCCAGAGTGTCCCAGAGGGCTGTCCTCTCGGCAGCCTGGTGGCCCTCTCCAGTTCACAGGAGCATGAGCGGGGTCTGATCAGTGGGCTCGGTGCTGGGCCCAGTGGCTGGTCTGAGCAGGGGGGACATGGACTGTGGAGAGGTCAGAAGAGCCCACGAGCAGACCCCCTGGGTCTGGGCTGGCTAGGGCTCCTGGCCAGGCCTGGCATGGTGCCTCCTGCTGCCCCGCAGATCCCGGGGCACAGGCTGGAGGGCGAGATGTCCATTGTGGAGCTTCGGGAGCGGCTGGCCCTGCTCAAGGAGGCTCAGCAGCGCGCCCAGGAGGAGAAGCGCGACCAGATCATCCAGGGCAAGCGTGCCCGGAGCCAGGAGCTGCAGGACACCACGGAGCGCATCGCACTGTGCCGCGCCGCCATGGGCCGGGCCGCCGCCCTGAGGTGGGTGCCAGGCCGGAGGAGGACACCTGGTGGGGGAGGCTGCTCCTGTGAGGAGGACACCTTGGTGGACACAGAGCTGGGGCGGGCACTGGGTTAGGAGGACACCTGGTGGGGAAGGCGCCTGGGTTGGGAGGACACCTGGCCGGGGGAGGCTGCTCCTGTGAGGAGGACACCTCGGTGGGGAGGGCACTGGGTTAGGAGGACACCTCGCTGGGAAGGGCACCTGGGTTGTGAGGACAGCTGGTGGTGGGAGGACTCTCAGGTGAGGAGAACACAGAGCTGGGGAGGACTGCAGGCCCTCCTTGCAAAGCCTACTGGCGCCTCACGACAACGCTCCCGGTGGTTCTTGACTCTATGAGACGGTCTGCAGGCACCTGGAAGTGTTGGGAAGCCGCAGGGCACTGCCCAGCTCAGACACCCTGACCCAGATGTAGCGGTTTGCATCTGGGACTCGGGTCTGACTTTTGCCACACGTGCTCGTCTAGTGAGCTGCCTGTTTGTCCTTGCACGGCAGACAGCCTCCCTCCGAAGTATTCCAGCCGGCGTCCTCTATGAAGGCCCTGCCCTGCATGACCTGGATGTTTCCTAGTTGGTGCCCCTGGGGACCCGCACTGCCCGGTGCCTGCGGTCGGCCTGCGCTCGCACCTCACAGGCTGCCAGGCTGTTTTCTTTGCAGACAGGAGCCAAATGAGCACCAAACCTTCCATTTGGCGGGCAGGCTTTCGTCACACACACTCTTGGGGGACATTGTGGTGCTTTTTCCTCCCGCATGGACCTGTCCTGTGGCAGCCAGACCAGGCCTGGGTCAGTGTCACACCCCGTCGTGGACTTGTCAGCTCCATCTCCCAGGGGCGTCCAGTTGTCAGGCATGTGGCAGCCCAGACCTGCAGAGCTGACCCAGATGCAGGGAGACTGGGGAGCTGAGGACCAGGCAGGGGGACAGATGGCAGGACCTGAACGACAAACCCACTGCCGGCACATCGGCACCAGTTCACAGCGGCACTCCACTGGGCTCTAAAGCCAGCACTCGTGATGGGAGGACACTGGCTGTCTTGATCCTGTGTGGTGGATTGAACTGCCGACCTGACAGTCAGCTGTAATACACATACAGCCGTGTGCACCAGGACGGGAGGGAGGGAGAGGGTGTAACTCACCGTCACTGACCTGCCCCTTCCCATGACTGGGAGGTCCGCGGGTGCCACACGCGGTTGTCACAGGACGAGTCAGAGTCACATCAGTCGTGGGTGCGTGCGGATAGCGTCCCATCATCACTCACGGAGAGATCTGGGAACATCTACGTAGGGAGGGGACACCATTCTTCTTCAGTCTGCCATTCGTGTCAGAGTGCCCCCAACAGTGGTGATTCAAGATGTCCACGTCGACTCATGAGTGCCTTGGACGTCAACCTTCCGGACGACCTCCGGTCAGTCTTCTGACGTTCATAGTGGGTGCACTCCATGTTCCCATTGTCAGTGGATGTTTACAGCTATAATTATCCTATCAGCTGGGGACTCAGACCCAGCCGGCAGTGCCAAGAGTGACCTGCCTCCACGGGTGTGGCAGCTGAGTTGGGCAGCCCCACTTGGAACCCAGCTCGTGACCAGGAGCTGGAATCGACCGCACGGTGATGAGCTTCCTTTCCCTTTCTCCTGGGTGACAGCCACTGTGTGTGCAGTTCAGAGGAGGCACGTGACAACACAAGTCGGGGCTGCCCAGGGAGACCTCCGCCACCCAGCAGGTCCCCAAGGAGGCACCACCCGCAGAGATGTCACCACTTCCCAGATGCTGGCCTTCCGCCTGGAAGACACCAGGGGCAGTGAAATGAACACTGGAGACTCCAAGAGTCCAGCTCAAGCCACCTATTCTAAAGTTCCTGCCATCAGCTGGACCCCGGTGGGCATTCACGGGGGGGGGGGGGTGGCTGTACAGCAGTGATGCAGGGAAAGGACGCAGGGGACAGCGTGATCAAGGCTGTGAAGTCAAAGTGTGTCAGGGAAGTTTCAGCAGGAAAACGGTGCTTTTTCAGAAACAAGATTTGCAAAGATTCTCACCATTTTTAGGAGGTGGTCACTAGGAAAACGGAGTGGCGAAGAACACGTGAAGTCAAGGGGCCTCTCACTTTCCTTCATACGCTTTTAGAGGCACTTTGTGGCTGTTGTTAGGTGTCATTGTCAAGTCTGGCTGACAGTGACCCTGTGAACGCCTGTCCTAACCTGCACCGTCTCCTCCCCTCTGACACCCCTCAGCCCATTTTGTGGTGACCCAGTGAGGACGTAGCTCGTTTTAATGCTCTTTGCAGATATGACATTGTTTTCTCAATCTTTGTAACTTTGAGACTCTTTCTTGTGACTTGAGAATCGATGGGTGTCCCAATGACTCAGGCCCGTGTTTGTCTTCTGTCGTTGATTGCAGTCCCCACACACGGCCTCACTTCTCCCACCGTTCACCCCTCTGCCTGGGTGTGACCCCAGCACCCTGAGCGGATACTGCCCTTCTGATCTATGGGTGACCGTGCTAAGGAGTGCAGGCCTTCACCGCCTCACAGGTCCACCGACTGCTGGGCTCAGTGTTGTGTCACAGGGCGAGTCTAGGTCCAGGCTCAACGGTGACATAGGCTCTGCTCTTGGGGGTTCCACTAGTCTCCATCAGAGGGCAAGCCTGCTCATTGCTGGAATAGTGACTCCCTTCTACACTTACTCCCACGCTCCCGGGACGCTCTGCGAACAGGCGGCACGGCCGCTGGGCACCATCCAGCTCTCTTGTCCAGGCCGTGGAAGTTGAGGCCCACAGTTCTGGTCTGTGGACTAGTCACGTCCGTGTGTCTTGGCCGTCCCTCACTCTCCTCTGCTCTGATAGGGAAAGACGAGTGGTTACACTTTAGATGGTCCCTTGAAAGCCTTAAAGGCCCTGGTCACTCTTCATCCATGTAGGGGATAGAACATTTTCTCTTGGAGTGGCCTCTATGTTCCCCAAGACTGTGGTCCTGAGGCCCCATGAGACCAGTCACTCGTTCCCTCTCACAGGGAGATAATGATTTGGAGGCTTTGAAGGTCTGTGGCAACTTTGTCATGTGAAGCTGTTGGTGCCATTGTCACAGCCAGTGATGGTGTGCTCACCTCACTGCTGTCACATGTGGGTTGTTACTGTTGTTAGGTGTTACGGAGTCTGTCCCGAGTGCCAGGACCGTGTGGACAACAGGGAGGTTGTCAGGTATTCTCACATGATTCCCATTTTTTCATAGTATGATTGATTGCTCACTTGAGACAGTACCCATCACTGCTGTGGGACAACTCTGACAGAGAAGGATCCTATAGCAAGAAATCTTGCTGAAGAGTAGTCAAAAAGTAGTGAAAGCTGTTCATACATAGGCAACTGCCAGAAGTTCAAGCAGGATTTAGAAGAGGCTGTGGCACCAGGGATATCACTGCTGATGTCAGATGGATCCTGGCTGAAAATAAAGAATACCGGAAGGATGTCAGTGTTTCATCCACTACGCAAAGGCTTTTGACTGTGTGGAGCATAACAAATTATGACTGACATTGAGAAAAATAGGAATCCCAGAAAGCTTAATTAAACTCAAAGGAGACCAAGAAGCTGTTGTGTGAACAGAGCAAGGGAACACTGTTTAAAATCAGGAAAGGTGTGCTTCAGGGCTGCATCTTTTGCTCATACCTATTCAGTCTGTACGTTGAGAAAATCATTCGAGAAGCTGGACTTTATGAAGAAGAATGTGGCGTCAGGATCCAAAGAAGATCCATCAACAACCTGTGTTACAGAGACAACACAGCGTTGCTTGCCCAATGTGAGGAGGACTTGAAATACTTGCTGCAGATGAATAAAGACTATAATATTGAATATATCGATCTGGATTACATCCAAAATCAATAAAACAAAAATCCTTGCCACTAAGCCATCAGGCAACATCATGATAGACGGAGAAAAGATGGACGTTACAGAGGATTTCTTCTTTCTTGGATCCACACTCAACACCCTTGTTAGCAGCTGTCAAGAAATCAAAAGGTATGACAACAATGTGGAACAAGATGTGCATGGCAAAATGGACTGGAGGAGGGGGAAGAAAGGAGGAGGGGGGAATGTGCAGTAATGCATTAATTTAAAAAAAACACATAAAAATATGTGTTGCATTGGACAACTGCCATGTCAGGGACCTCTCCAAATGCTAAAGAGCAATGATGTCACTATAAAGACTAAGGTGCGCCTGATCCAAGCCAGAGCCTTTTAAGTTCCTATGCATCTGAAAGTCGGACAATGAGTTAGGATGGCAGAAGAATCAATGCCTTTGAGTTGTGTTGAAGAATACTGAATATCCCATACAGTGCCAAAAGAACAAATACATCTTGGCAAAAGTACAACACGGGTGTTCCTTAAGAGAGAAGGATGGTGAAACTTTGCCTCACATACTCTGGGAATATTGTCACGAGGGCCCAGTCCTTGGATAAAAGACGTCATACTGGAAAAGGTGGAGTGTCAGAAAAAGAGAAAGACCCCCAACAAGATAGACTGACACAGTGACTGCAGCAATGAGCTGGAGGGCATCAGAGATGGTGTGGATGGCACAGGATAAGTCAAGGGTGATATTCATTGTTCATAGGGTCAGTATGAGTCCTGGGCGACTTGATGGCACCTACCAACAACAGGGTAAGTAGAACTGCCCCCTTGTGTTTCTGAGGTTATAAGTCTTTACACAGGTGGGCTGCCTCATCTATCACTGAAGATGGTGTGTTTGAACCTCAGACCTTTAGGTTAGCAGCCCAGTGCTCAGCCCACTGTACCACCGAGGCTTCTCTAACATACCTCAGTATGTGTTATGTGCTGTTGAATCAGAACTGATTCATAGCTGTCCCGCCAGGCAGTTTTCAGAGGCAGTAAATCATCCCGGAGGAAGCTGTCCATCCAGGGGAGCAGCCGGTGGATTTGAACGCCATGGCTTTAGGATTGTAGCGAAGCTTCTTTTTTTTTTT